TTTTTTTGTACTTTTATTTCCTGTCCCTTTTTATTGGCAGCAATTCAATGGTGAACCTGGGTCCGCGCATTAACCCAAATGGCTGCAATTCAAAGTAATTGGAGGAGCAGGATCAGCCGGCTGCTATGGATGACACTTGAAAACTTCAACTCCCCAAGCGACGTGGCTTTCATTGTATGTATGCGAGTGTGTGTGTGTGTTGGGGMAACATTTTTGGATTTATTCATTTGAAACTTACACAAAACTCGAAATCATAAATCTTTTTAATTTCATTGATCAACTTTTGGCGTGTTTTTTGCTCGGGCCGAGTAAACTTTTGCCTGGGCGCAAAGTTTTCACACTTCGATTCCCGCAGGACAAAATCCGCTTGACATTTAAATCGATTGGTAGATAAATATTGGACGTAAAGTCCAATTCATCGCTGCGAAATTATGTTGCTAAACTTATCGCAAAACTTCAACTTCAGCTGCTGTCCTCCGCCCCTTTATTTCTTATTTATTTAATGAATAAGCACTTTCGACTTTCCCCTAAAACTAATCGCCTCATAAACAAGCCGCAAGTTGCAATAAAAAGCGAACGCTTTTTAATGGACATTTCATGTCGTTGTCTATTTATTGTTACTTTTTTTTCTTCTTCTTTTTTTTGCTGTTCCAGGCGGAAAGTTCTAATTCATAAATACACGTCCTTCGATRAAAACCAACAACAGCAGCAACAGCAAATAGTGTGGGTTCAGCAATTTAATGCGGTCTGTTGCTTCCGGTCGCTGATTTTGATTTCGATTCATAGAACGCAACGTGAGCAACAAAAATTGACATGAGCGCTTGTCAGGGATTGACTTCAAAATAAATGTACGAAACATTTGCCACTTCCTGATATTGTTTTCWGCCAGTTCGCTGGTATCTAAAGAAGTAGCCCAAGCTTGGGAAAACTTTTACGYTGTCTTATTTTTACAATAGTAGAGCTCATCGACCTAAGCTCTTCTTATGTCAGCCACTAGTTGCTGTGGTTGCCTTGGATATATCTAGTTATTGGCTATGGCTAATATAGTTATTGGCTATGGCTAATATAGCTTGAGACTGAATTCGTAATGCTCAGTTATCAGTTGGTCAACTCATCTACCTCGATCACTTCTGAGTCTTATATGCCTTAGTTACACTTCCTCAACGGCTATTCTCTAGTCTTTTTATATAATCTACTTACATATAAAGCCCATATTAATCATCTTTTACTTTCCCTTATTTCCTTGCATTTGGAATAACGTTTATCTGTTGATCCTTATTGTCTTACCCATAAATCATATTTAATGCGCTATATCTGTGTAATTGAGATGACTTTGGACTACATTAGCATGCATTATATATTCAGCTGCTGGCATTTCATCAATTTAATTCCGACTCGCGCTTTTAAAATATGCAATTTTCACACAAAAGGGAATATGTGTGGGCCTTTTTTTTTATTATTATTTTTCCCCTCGGCTTGGCTAGCTGAATGCATTGACTGGAAATTAATTATGCGGCAAGCTGATTTTTGCCAGCCAGTCGAAGAACTAGAGGCTGATCCTAGCCATTGCCAATACGGCCGCAGCTGACCCAGTTGTTTAATTGAATTGAAGCCATAAACACTCAAAGCGAAAAGCAAAAAGGCTGGGGCCGAGCAGGGCAGGGCAGGGCGGGCTAGGACAGACCGAGACCGAGACCGAGTGGAAAATGAAAAATTGCAGCGCCAGGATGACGACGTAGAGGACGAAGCTGATGATGATGCCGACTAGCTAAATAACTTTAATTAGAGTTGCGCGTGCGATGGGCATCAATTCGTCATGCGGGCGGCGCTCGATGAAATCGGAAGCGGAAGCGGAATCCGCCTGGCCGGCCATTTTCCCCAAAGAGTT